TTCAAAATCATCTGCTGCTGCTTGAGTGAAGCTGCCCCGCGCTTTGCGCTGAGAGTAAGCGTCACTCCCTACATTCACATGGAGCGCTAGCCTGAGGGGAGCCACTCTCCAATATATTGTCTGATTTCACCCTGTGGGAGTGATAAAATATTCTTCGATGCTTCGATTTTTGAACACTTTTCCTAATAGCTAAATCTTAATGTCAGATAGATCTTAAAATCTTTGCTTTCCATTGTTAGGCTAGAATGTCACAGCAGGAAATTGATATTGTTCCCCATTCTGGCTTCCCAGGAGATTATTTTGTCAATCCTATATATTTAGATATTTAAATATATATTTCTTGTTCTGTTATTTTAAGTACAGACTAGTGATTAAGAGCATGGACCATAGAACTAAATTGCCTGCTTTTGAATCTTGGCTTTGTCTGCCACTTACCACCTGTGTGACTTTGGGCAAATGACTTAATCTTTCTGTGCCTCAGTTTGCTAATTAATAAAATGGAGAAAATAATAATGCTACTATTTCATGTAAGTGTTCATTTTTGTCATGTAGAATTACTACTACAACCTTTACAAATGTGATCTTCTCTCATCTAGATTACAAGCAATTTCAGGTCAGAGATTTTTATGTACATTTTTTTTTGTGTTCCCTGTTGTACATAAAAAATTTAGTTTTAAAATATCTATCTTTATATCTGACTATCTAGGTAGAAACAGAGTTAGATGATAGAGACAGAGATTATGTGTGAGTGTGTCCACGAGAGGAACTGAGGGTTTATTTCCATTTCCGTTCTGTAGGTGCAAGCTTAGAAATCTGCTCAGGGTAATATGCAAGTAGCAAGACAATAACATTCACAGCACGATGTATCAGATTTGATTTAAAAGAATTACTGTTGTGCTTCAAAAAAAGCTTCTTAAAAATCCCTTGTTTCTTTTTAAAGTAAAGAATTTTTAAAGTAAGTAGGATCTCCCTGTTCCTTTTGAAAAAAAGGATTTACTTGTTTCCTAAAATTTGGTAACCTTAAGAAATCTGAAATTAATTATTTATTGACCAGAAGAAAACCAATGATGCTATAACATATCTATAGAGACAAAAAGAATAACCATTTCAGTGATTCTGAGGTTAAGATAATAAAAGGCCAGTCTACAGGTTGTAGATTCACAGAATGTTAGCCCTGGAAAGCACCTTGGTAATCAAATCTACCCCTCTCTTTTTTGTTGGTTTTTGTTGTTGTTGTTTTGTCGGTATTTGGTGGCTGGCCATCGCAAGGATCAACCCTTGACCTTGGTGTTGCAACACTGTGCTCTAACCACCTGCGCTAACTGGCCAGCCCATTTTGTTGTTTTTGGG